TCCCTCAGCCCCGCGAGAAGGGGAGGATGCGCTTCCACAAGCTGCAGAACGTGCAGATCGCCCTGGACTACCTCCGGCACCGCCAGGTGAGGCGCTGCCCGCCCGCCCGGCCCCCTCTGCCCCGCCCGGCGTCGCCTGACCTGCCGCCTCTTGCAGGTGAAGCTGGTGAACATCAGGAACGATGACATCGCCGACGGCAACCCCAAGCTGACGCTCGGCCTCATCTGGACGATCATCCTGCACTTCCAGGTACGCTGGCCGCCGGCCCCTGCCCGCGGCCCTCGCCAGGCCCCGCCCAGCCCACGCTGCCCCTGCCGGCCCAGCCTTCCTATCTGCGCCTGCTGGCCTGGGCAGGGCCCGCGGAGCCTCCCTGCCCAGGAATGCGCTCTCTGCAGCCGCCTGCCCCAGGGAAGGCTCTGGAGAAGCTTGGGCTGGGCTGGCTGACTCACCCGGCCGCCCTGGCCGCCCAGGAAGCAGCAGATCTGAGAGTGGGGCAGGCAGAGCCTCGTGGGCATGGAGCTGAGTCACGCAGGCCACGGGCGGGCAGGCCAGGGGCCCGGGCGTGGCGGTGCCAGAGTGCAGCCCAGGGGCAGCCCCAGAGGCCTGGTGCCCGCAGCCAGCCAGCGAGGGGCCTGTCCTGCCTCTCGAGAGCTATTCCTCGCGGGGGCCACCCCACCCCGGGCCTGCCCGGCAAGCTCTGGGGTGCAGCGTGCATCCGGGCCCCTTCCCGCAGAGGGACCAGGGCACTCCATGGCCAGCCCGGGACAGTGCGGCCACTGGTGGGCGGGGCCTGGGCACGCGAGTGGGCGGGTCCTGCCGCCGTGGGCCAGGGCCACGGGCTCCGGGCATCCTGACCGGGCACAGGCTGAGCTGCCCTCCCCGCGGCGCGGGGCAGATCTCCGACATCCAGGTGAGCGGGCAGTCGGAGGACATGACGGCCAAGGAGAAGCTGCTGCTGTGGTCGCAGCGCATGGTGGAGGGCTACCAGGGCCTGCGCTGCGACAACTTCACCACCAGCTGGCGCGACGGCCGCCTCTTCAACGCCATCCTGCACCGGC